GAATGGTGGTAAAAAAAAAACATATAGCTGCTCTGTGTGTGGGAAAAGATTTCCTCAACGTGGAAATCTGAAGATACACATGAGCACTCACACAGGAGAAAAACCATATAGCTGCTCCGAGTGTGGGAAAGGATTTTCTCAACGTGGAAATCTGAAGATACACATCAGAACTCACACAGGAGAGAAACCATTTAGCTGCTCCGAGTGTGGGAAAGGATTTTCTCAACTTGGAAATCTGAAGCTACACATGAGCACTCACACAGGAGAAAAACCATATAGCTGCTCCGAGTGTGGGAAAAGATTTGGTCATCTTAGAAACCTGAAGCTACACATGAGCACTCACACAGGAGAGAAACCATATAGCTGCTCCGAGTGTGGGAAAGGATATTCTCAACTTGGAAATCTGAAGAAACACATGAGCACTCACACAGGAGAAAAACCATATAGCTGCTCTGAGTGTGGGAAAAGATTTGGTCATCTTGGAAATCTGAAGGAACACATGAGCACTCACACAGGAGAAAAACCATATAGCTGCTCTGAGTGTGGGAAAAGATTTGGTCGAACTGGACATTTGAAGGTACACATGAGAATTCATACAAGAGAAAAACCATATAGCTGCTCTGAGTGTGGGAAAAGATTTGGTCACATTGGACAACTGAAAGAACACATGAACATGCATGCCGGAAAAAGGTGCTTCAGCTGTTCAGTTTGTCTGAAATCTTTTACACGGAAAGAGACCTTGGAAGCACACATGAGAACTCACACTGGAGAGAAACCATACAACTGCTCCGAGTGTGGGCTTGGATTTTCTCACTTAAGTCATCTAAAGAGACACATGAGAACTCACACAGGAGAGAAACCATATAGCTGCTCTGAGTGTGGAAAAAGATTTGGTCAATCTGGAACTCTGAAGATACACATGAACATGCATACCGGAAAAAGGTGCTTCAGCTGTTCAGTTTGTCAGAAATCTTTTACACAGAAAGGGAACTTGAAAGCACACATGAGAACTCACACTGGTGAGAAAGCTTTTCGCTGCAGTGTTTGTGACCAAAGATTTGCTTTGCGTAAACATCTCAGAAAACACAAGTGTGTTGTTAATGAGTCAGTCTCACTAGAATCACACTAAGGGGCATTAGAAGGGAGATTTTATTGAAACTGAAACTATACACTGATAACAATTGGAAGGAGACCAGAGAATTTCAGTCAATATAAAACTTTCTGAAAAATAAGTAAGTCCTAGTACGTTGTTTGAGACTTATTATGACCCAAAAATAGTTCATTTGTTCTGAGAGTTGTAAAAGAGTGTTCGTCTGGGGTCTGAAGGAACACATGAGGATGCCTACGGGAGAGAAACTATTAAATTAGTGAAACAAGATTCTCGCTGAAGTAAAACTTAATTTGTCACATGAGCTTTAGTTCAGGGGACAAATCTTTCAGCTGTTGTGTGTCTGTGTGTGTGTGTGTGTGTGTGGGAGGGTTGAAGCTTTTGTCTCCGAGTTAAAGAATAAACCCTCAGGCTCAAGTGTATTTGAATCATTTATCTTTCTGCGTGTGTTTTTTGAGGCAACCTGTAATTTCAGTAACACTTCTAGACTTTTATTTTGAAGCTCAGCAACTCATCTGCTCTGGAAGCTGTATTCTTCACTGTGGCTAACGTCACAATGTTTAAGCAGGATGACATCTCTGTGGGCTCCTGCTCATGCAGGGTTGAAAGGAAATGAAAAAGCAAACATATTGGCTGAACAATCATTAAAACAACATTTGAGCGATGTGCAAGTGTCACTAAGGAATATTCAGTGCAGGTAGATTACAGAGTGGGATCCCAAGGGAAGAGATGATCATTACCCATCTGAGGAGAGGATGTAGTGTAAGAGTTAATCCCTAATCAAGTAAAAGTGTTACACTGCATAAGTTGATTAAGAAACAAAACCATATAACCATCATATAACCATATTTTATGTATAAGATCTTATAAAACCGATTGAAATGCATCTATATGTGTTAAAGCATTGTTATACATATTAAAGTGTTCACAAATTAGAGTTATAAGTCAACATTGTATTCACACTACAGAGCACACACGTAACCTATCATGTTCTGTATAACGATAAGCACACACACATTCACATGTCTGTACTACCTGATGCACATTTAAAAGTTTATATTGTATAAGAGCACAAGGGACTGCATAAAGAAAGTCCCTAAGATTCACATGTTTTTTTAAAAATAAAGTGAAAGCAAATCCAAAGCTAAGGGTGGAAAATTTGGGAACTTCCAGACTCAAAATGAAAGTGATACACCATTAAAATCAGGCCTGTTCACGATTGGACAAAAAGAAAAAGATAACCACCAATAGCTTTGCATTGAAGTGGGATGGATTAGCAGAAGAAGGTGGAGACTCTCTCCAGTCTCCACCAGCATAAAAGCAGACGCACTGAAAGTAGATTTTCAGTCCAGCTCCGGGGCTTGACTCGATGAGTTGTATGTGTTGTGGCTTGTAAACACATTAAACTCGATTGCATCGAACTCTGCCTGTCTCCAGTGATTCTTTGAGTATTGATTAGCTGAATCCAAGGTACCAGATCGACATCAAAGGATAACTGAGAAGTCAAGTGGAGGACAAAGTTGGGAGCCTACAGGCCCAATTCCAGGCACCGATTTTTACCTCTACAAGGACATACTGGATTATATGACACCCTCTCTTAGGGCTGGCCGATGTAATGACTGTGTTCGATATATTGATGTATTTTCAATCAAGATATGAATTTAGATAATACCGTTTAAATCTATATAGAGTCAAGCTGTGTATCATAACGTGTACCAGTGTGCTTCTCTCCTCTCTCACACTCCCAGCACAGCTCTGTCCCCTCACTCACAAGTTCTTCATCAGCAGTCAGAGAGACACAGAGCTGCTCCTCTGTTTCATCTGTCTGTTCATTCGTCTACAGTGAGACATTGGTCTGTATGTTACACGTGCTACACTACATCAGTTTGTGACGTTAATGAAATTACCGCAGTTGCACACATGTGGTACAGACATTTCATATACAAGACGTATGTAACGAGGAAAAAGTGTCTCTGTCTCCGTCCCTCCCTCGGCCTCTCTGTTGATGCTCTGTGCATAAATAAGATTAATAGAATAAATAAATAAAAAGATTTAAAACATTTTTCAGCACTCGATTCATCTGAAAGGCCAACAGATAGAAAATGACTTTTCAACTCCTCCCACAAAGACTTTTAATTGTTCCAAACTACAGTGGATTGAAATCTCCTTGATAGTTTTATACTCATGTTATAGTTTAGTGTCCTGTACTGCCACCCTTTAAACCGCTGTAGCTTGTAGTGTAAAAGTCAAAACCCTCATCAGGTGTTAGACCATATAAGTTGGATAAGATACAAATAGCTATATAACCATGTTAGTGTGTAAACTGTTGCAAAAAACTAATTCTGCATTCATGTGTAATATGCAATATAACGGTGTGAACTCTTAGTGACATCTCAGTTGTGAACTCTTATTGACACACACAACCTATCACGCGCTGTGTAATGATATAATGCACTAACCTACACTCACATGATGTTGTGAACTTATAGTGACACTCATACAAGTTACCACGTGCTGTGACAGCACACTCACTTGATTGTACTGCCTAAATGCATTTAAGAGTTTATATAACACGGGAAAAGGTCACACACACACTCAAATGATTGTAACACAAGGGACTGTAGCATGTGAGTCCCTAGAGATCACGTTTTTCAAAAATAGAGCACGAGGGACTGTAGCATGTGAGTCCCCAGAGATCACATGATTTTTTAAAAAATAGAGTGAGAGCGATTCCGGAAATACTGGTGGCAGATTCCAGTTGAGCAGGAATAAAGGCAAAAGTCTGCTACCAGTAAAAACGGATCGAAGTGGGAAGGACTACAGAAATGGGTGGAGATCTCTTCGACCTCCACCAGCATATAAGCCAGAGCGCTGAAAGCAGGTTTTCAGTCGTCCTCCGGAGGCTGACTCGTGAGTTTGTCTGTGTTGTTGCCTGTGAACACAATAAACTCGATTGCACCAGATTCTGCCTATCTCCAGTGTTTTCCTAAGAACCTAAGATACTGAATTGACAACAAAAGACATTTTAGAAGAAACAAGGAGGACGGGGTCGGGAGCTGTCAGGCCCAATTCCAGGCACCGATTTCAGTCACCTGAAGCTCCAGTGCTGTGTGCAAAAACATTTATGTACAGCCCTGCTGTTTATTTTACATAGTTTTTCATTTACATGTTGTGCAGCTGTATATTTTAAAGCAGATTAAAAAAAATTCCCTGTCTCTGCCTTTTATTTTGATCACAGTCTGTTTTTTTAAAAACTGCTTGTGGCATCTCAAATGTGGCTTTGACTTGCTGCTGGAAACATGTCGCCCATTAATAGAAAAAAAATGGAGATATACATTGTGTACCACCAGTCAGTCAAGTGACGAGGCTCTGTTGTACAGCGCTGATCTCTAACCAGTTTCTATTGATCGAAAAGCTAAATGCTGACATCTGTGTGTCACTGGATAAGAGGCAGCTTTTAGTGACTGATGGTACCAGATAAAAAGTTAGAAGTTTATCAAAGTGATAACATGTCATCCTCTTCTGTTCATGACTGTAGATTTTTGTATTTTATTTTGGGCACCAGAGATATTTATGACACTACTTTTTGCGCCTAATTTGCAAATTCAGTAACACTTACGGACTTTTATTTTGAAGCTCAGCAACCAATTTGCCCCAGAAGTTGTATTCTTTACTGTGGCTAACTTCACACTGTGTGAACAAGATGGCGTCTGGCAGAACCGGGGCTGCATTCGAAAGGCCCACTGGCATACTGCATACTACTACTACTTACTACCACTAGATACTCCTCCTACCTACGAAACAAGTTGGGTCCATTCGGACATACTAAAAAATTGGTGGGAAAACACCCCATCTGCTGGCAGAGCAGAGGTACTGCCTACGAAAGCACCCCATCTGCCGGCTTGGCTGAGGTACTGCACCAAAATCTGAACGCAGCTGTGATGATTGAAATTGCCCAAAAATGAAGCTGGCCACTCTTTACCCACCAGCAACATTTCTGCAAGCTCTCTCATGCTTCTCAACATGCAAAATGCGAGGCGTAGGCGAGCCAGAGCTCGCAGACGCCTCCTTTTGCACACAATAATTAATTCACTGCCACAGTAAGCAATGACATGACATGCCACACTCAAAAACTTAAACTTTGAAGATCCTTTATATTGTTTTTGAAATAATCCAACCTGTTATGGTGATGACAACCATCATCACTTCTCATAAGTGTCACAACGCTAACATGATGTGTCAATCAAGTGATTAGTTCATTGAATATCAATATCTAGATACAGCATTTCCACCAGCACATTCTGTCATGTGTGTAGGCTGAGTCACTTTGAACACCTGTCACCTCACACAGTACATTGACATCCAATAACACTGCTCTGCCATGATGTACTTTCATTATGCCAGACTTAATCATCATTTGTTTTAACAGTACTAGTATTTATTATTATCATTACTTATTTTATTATTGTTGTTTGTTGTTGTCTTTTGAATGTCAAACGAATGTGAATGTCCAATATCAAACTAATACCGGTATAAAACAGACGGCTTTGTTCATAATCATATTAGCAGAAATACATTTTTGACCAATGAAAACTGTGTGTGTTGATAATTGTATATTTGTGCAACTTAAATCTTTAGCTTGTTGCACATAATGAAGGAGGCGTACAGACCTGTGCAGCCACAACAATGC